CTCTGGGCCTCCAGGACAATCGCTGCTTGCCGGCTCTTATTTTTCTAAGCAATATTGTGATGGAGAAAAATAACATATTTATTGGGATTTGGTTTTTTGGGTCTTTTTTTAAGGGAACAAAAAATGGTTAAATGAGGTCTGCCAAAGTTGACCTGAAAACACACTTGACGCTCAGGCAGGAGGGCACTGACCACACCCCACACAACCTCAAAGGGTCAGTGCATCAGTCTTTTTCTTCTGAGGCAGGAAACAGGTGCTGTCTTAGCCACCTCGGCCAGGGCAGCCCACCATGCTAAAAGGACTCCAAGTTGTGGTCAATGTCCCTTCTGTGCAGGGCCCCATCTCTAGCTTTTCCACATCTGTCTGAAGTTCTTGCAACGAATTTTACATGGTCCAGCAATCCAGCTAGCTGCCTCATCAAAACACTGAATAACCAAGGACTGCTGAGTTTTTCTTCATGGGTCAGCTGGTCTCAAAACTGGCCGCTGCCTCAGCCACCAAGCTTTCTCCTACCACTACTTTAAACCTCCCTGGCCCTGGAGAGACTGGGATGACTCTGCCTCTAGCCCATTACAATACATTCTATGCTATTTGTGCAGACTGGTGCTTCCGCAGAAAGGGGATGCCAATTCTGGTGATCACAGAACTCCACCAGCAACTCCACCTGACCCCAGCAGTGGTGCAGGACAGCTGCCAGCACCCACCTGGCCCTCCTTTTCCACAGCCACTCACTGGGGTTGAGACCCAGAGATGGCTGGTGTGTAGGAGAGACTGCAGGAGGAGGACAAACCAAAGCCTTTGCCCTTATTCACTGTGGAGCATCCCCTTCCATCGAGCAGCCCTCAGGCCAAGGATGACCCCCTGGAACCCAACGTGCACCCAGAGGGGACTCGACTTCCAAGCTGCTCCCCCATGCTGGGTCCCAGGCAGCTTTCCTCTGAAAAGCAACCTCTCCTGCCACCCAGATCCCATCTCAAGAGCTCGCCCATGTTATGAGCATGTAAGGGACTGAATTCCTAGTAACTGTTCCAGTTTACAGCCTGCCCTCCAGGGACACCCGTCTTCATGGTTCTTTCTACACATGAAAGCAAGAAATGGCTGATAAGCACAGTAATTTAAGTTTGTGTATTTATGTAGTGAAAGTTATTAACCAAACCGGTCTATGTGAAGTGTGAAGCCTTCCCTTCAGTATGTCCATTGTCATGATGCCAAGAGCTGCCACTGTGTGGTATTCGAGGATTACTGCAACAAAGCCAGTAGTTACACCAAACTACACTCTCAGCGTGTCATCCCCTAGAACACACCCAGGTGTCGGGAGCTGAGGTGTTCAGCTGGGCTGTGACTCCACAAAAGCAGGCCTGGTGTTGCTTCCACGTCGGTAGCAGTTGTGGATGTCAATGTGCATAAGCGAGTCTCTGACCTCAGAACGTTTGAGTCATTTTATCTTAAGATGTTTCTAAATGGATAATGTATCCTTTAAACCTCGGTTTTGCAATACGTTTCACAGCTTGTCTCCTTTCAACTAACTGGGTACCGTACCCCACCCTTGTCACCCATTGACAGCAAAACCTCAACCCTGGGCCTACAGACACAGAACGAACCTGCACAGGTAGGTTTTCACTCTTTATTTATGACAAATATTCCACTTCCATGATTCTCTCCAGTCAAAAGTTCCTAGAACCAGGGGAAAAGGACAACGTTAGGACCACGCCTCTGGAGCAGCCCTAGTCCACTCACTCTGCCCAAATGTGAGCCCCCCAACCTTACTTTGAGACGATGCCGTCGGCCTTGGCCAATCGAAGAATGGAATCATCTGACTCACCCTTAAGAAAAAAAACACACTAAGAATATTTCCACTCCGGCTGCTTGAGATGGCAGGTCAGCTGCGCCACCAGCCCATGTGTCTCCCCCGCTGAGCAAATGTAAACAGGCGCAGAAGGGGAGCCACCTCTCCTGAGGGGCAGCCTCCAGCCTGACTATGGCGTGAGATGGGGGGGACCTCCTAGTGGGAGGCAGGGTCTGCTGCCTATTTTCTCAGAGCACCCCTCTTCCACCCCCAAGAAGCAGCAGGCAGCCAGCCCAGTCCAGCTGGCTCAAACTACTCTGCCAGCAAATCTACTCAGGCACCATCACACACTCAAATGCGCAGGGTAAAGCAGGGTCAAGTCCACGATGTCCCGAAGTGAGCAAAGCCCAGGGAACACTCACCATCCTACGAATGGCCCCGCAGATAGCATAAGTTTTAAACTGGCCATTAAACCTGCCTGTGACCTTGTCAACCTAGAAAGAGAAGAAGGGTCAGAAACCACTCCCCCAAGTTTGGGAAACACCAATCCTCAAAGCCAGTCTCTGCCTTACGTTCACCCTAGGGGCTCCTCCACAATGGGACAGGCCTGCCTTTCCCGGCACATACATCCCAACCTTCCCGCCTCCCGGGCTCCCAGCTCACCTCGGCCACGTTCATCTGGATGGATGCGTGGTCCTTGGCACCGATGATGCGGTTGCTAGCGGAGCTGTGGAGAAAGGGAGCAGTGAGCAGAAGGGACACGGGGGTTAAAAATGAAAGAGGGGACGTGGAGGGTTGGGAGGGTCTGCATGGAAAAGAGGAACGTCCGGGGAAGGATACGTGAGGGACGTGGCGGGGTAAGGACAGGAGGGGTGTGGGGGGAACAAGGGCAGGCGACGGGACGTGGTGGTTGGGTAAAAACGGAAGAGGGGCATGTGGGGGGCGCAGTGAGCCGGGCGTGGGGAGGGCGCTCACCATTTCCGCGGCACGTACAGGTCCACGAACTCGCCGGCGTCGTTCTGCATCCCGAGGCTGAGCCTGCGGAGTCACCGCGCGGCGCCGTGAGGACGGCCGGAACCGTGCCCCGGCTCCCGGCGCAAACCCGCCCCTAGGGTCACGGCCGCAGCCGCACACCGCACCCTGCACCCCGTCCCCCGCGTCCAAGCCCCCGCTTCCGCCCCAGCCCCAGCCCCAGCCCTGAGCCCCAAGCCAGCGCCGCGCACCACACCTGCTGCCACCACACCGCGCGCGAGAGAGAAAGGAAGCGGCTAATTACCCGGCAGAAATATCGGCGGGCAAGGCGGGGCCTCGGCGAGCGCTTCCGGGTCACGCCGCCACAGCGAGTCTGCGCGGTGCGTTTTTGCCGGCCGACGCCCTGACGCACTTCCGCTTCCGGCGGAGGAGGCTCTAGGATCCGCCCTACTGACCCTGGGGCGCGGGGCGTCGTTACGGGTGGTCGCCCTGTGTGGCGTGTTATCGTAGCCCGTGGGTTGTGCCCCACGGACGCAGTCGACCCTTGTGAGCGCCTCGGGAGCCCCGAATGAGCAGCTGGGAGAAGCGGCGGGGACTGAGCCTCGCTGACCGCTGCCGACCGGGCCAGAGATATGGGCGTACCCCCCCATAGTGCGCCTCCAGCGCCCCGGGTCCCCTCACCCTGCGGCCACCTGGGGCGTGGGGCGGTGCTCCTGCCCAGGCACGGAGCCTCTGCGAGCGGAGGCCTGCTCCCGTGGTGCCTGCTGTTCACACTCCCTCGGGCCGGTGGGCGAAGGACACCAGCAGGAACTCGGCAGAAAAGAAATTCAGACGGTTCCTGAGGGTAGGAAAAGGTCCCGGCCCACCGCGGGGTCGGAAGCACCCGACCGCTCTGCCATCCAATGTTTCACCAGTCAGATTCCCAGGGCAGAGCATGGGAAGCAGAATGCAAACTGGGGCACCGTTTCCCTGAAGCATTTTGGCCGCCTTTGTCATAGTGCTAGAGGTGCATACTCTTGGACCCCGCAAACCCGCTCCTGGGAATTTGCTCCAAGGAAGTAAAGATGATACAAAGATGGACCCACGAAGTGTGGTCGTTGGTTATGGGTGGGTTCTTGAGGAAGGCCTTGTTAGCAGCCTGAACCCTGTTGCTAGGAGAAGCTCCAAGCCGTAGACGGAAGGAGCAGCGGGGCCAATGTTGGGTTCTTCTCTGGGAGGGGGACATGATCCTAAGATGTAGAACTAGCCTCAGAAAACCAAGGCCCAGTGGCCGGGCGCGGTGGCTCATGCCTGTAGTCCCAGCACTCTGGGAGGCGGAGGTGAGTGGATCACCTGAGGTCAGGAGCCTGCCTGGCCGACATGGTGAAACCCCGTCTCTACTAAAAATACAAAAAATCAGCTGGGAGTGGTGCTGGGCGTCTGTAATCCCATCTACTCGGGAGGCTGAGGCAGGAAAATTGCTTGAACCTGGGAGGCAGAGGTTGCAGTGAGCCGAGATTGCACCACTGCACTCCAGCCTGGATAAGAGTGAAATTCCTCCTCAGAAAAAAAACAAGGTGAAAGCAGGGAAGGGGCCTGGCCAAGCCTAGTGGGAGAACTAGGGCCAAACCCCACAGCCCTCTCCCTGCCCCAACCCCTCCCAATTTCCCCCATCCCATTCCTCCGTGGAGCAGTATTGACTGAGAAGTGCTGATGCCATGCCCATTCCTGGTGCCAAGGGTCCGTTAATGGAGAAAACAAAAATCCCAGACTGTGACACTAACATCTCAGAGTCGCCTCCACCCCACCTTTGTGGGAGTGTGCGTGGCAGTCCCTCAGTTAAATGTCCTCTTGGGACTTTGTCTTCCAGATGAGACAAGACCCCACAAGGACAGGCTCAGGACCGCGAACATCCTGCCTCTCCTATAGCAGCCCCATAGGCTAAGCCACAGGAGCCTCTGGAAACACAGCTGTGCCCCCACCACCCCTTTGCCTGGACAACCCTACTCCACACTGAGCTCCAAGTCTCAGCTCCCACATTCTTTCGCTGACCCAAGCCCATGTCAGTTTACATGGTTAAGGGCTCTCAGAGAACCCACTTCTCGTGACAATCTGCTTGTCATTAGACACTGATTTGTGGAACTGTTTGGCATCTTCCCTGTGACCTGGGGCTGCTGGAGCTGCGTTCCCGTGGGGCTGCACACGGTAAGCACACTGGACGCAGGATTAAGTAAAGGCACCAAGGATCCCTGACACAGCACCGTCCGAGTCAGGCCAATTTCATTCCGACTGTGGGAAGGTGTAACATCTGGACCTGGTTGGCACTGAGGCTGCAAGTTCTGTCTGGCTTGGAAACCACATGTTCATGTGGGCAGTGTGTCTGCTGTTGCTTCCACTGAACTCCAGCAACCAGGCATCAGAAGTGAGGTCACTGAGGCCATTGTCTTTCAGGAAGGTCACTCTGTTCATGCAGGCCCTGAGATGTGTGCTCTTTCCAGACCCTCAGCATGTGTACGGAGGTGTCTTGATGTTTGCAGTTGGAGATCTGCACAACTGACCTTCCCATCTATGTCTGTGTGTGGGTTGCCCAGCGAGGCCTGGGGGGTTAAGAGATTCTCTCTGGCTAAAAAGCCAGAGACGGGGCAGCCAGAGGACTAGAAGGGACAGAATAGCAGAAGGAACTCCAGAGGTCTGCAGAGGGTCTTCCTTGAGTGGTCAGGAGAGTACTGTCAGTACATTTCCTAGAAGCTGGGGAAAAAAACATCCAGAAAGATTACTCTGCTTACACGGGACTGGAAATAGTACTTGCTTTCCTCAACTTTTCCAAACTGACAATCACAAGACATTGGATGGAGTACTCAGAAAGGTCTTGCCTCAGTCATGGGGAATAATTATCCCTGCCCTGAATGTTTCCCAGGTCCCACCTAAGAAATCATAAAGGCAAGACCTGAAAGAAGCAGACTGCTTCCAAGTAATGTAATTGCATCCCAGAAAAAAAGCTGAAGAATATTCACAGGAATACAATAGTATCAAGCACTCAGTAAGGTAAAACTCACATTGTGGCATCCAGTCAAAGACTGCCAGGCATTTAAAGAAGCAGAAAAATATGGCCTGTAATGAAAAAAAAAGCAATCAATGGAAATTGTTCCAGAACTAAAACAGATGCTAGAATTAGCAGGTAAGGCCATTCTTATAACAGTTTTTTGTTTTGTTTTTTTTTGTTTTTTGGTTTTTTTTGAGACAGAGTCTCGCTCTGTCGCCCAGGCTGGAGTGCAGTGGCCGGATCTCAGCTCACTGCAAGCTCCGCCTCCTGGGTTTACGCCATTCTCCTGCCTCAGCCTCCCGAGTAGCTGGGACTACAGGCGCTCGCCATCTCGCCTGGCTAGTTTTTTGTATTTTTTAGTAGAGACGGGGTTTCACCGTGTTAGCCAGGATGGTCTCGATCTCCTGACCTCGTGATCCGCCCGTCTCGGCCTCCCAAAGTGCTGGGATTACAGGCTTGAGCCACCGCGCCCGGCCTATAACAGTTTTTTTTTTTTTTTTTTTTTGAGACGGAGTCTCGCTCTGTAGCCCAGGCTGGAGTGCAGTGGCCGGATCTCAGCTCACTGCAAGCTCCGCCTCCCGGGTTCACGCCATTCTTCAGCCTCAGCCTCCCGAGTAGCTGGGACTACAGGCGCTGCCACCTCGCCCGGCTATTTTTTGTATTTCTTAGTAGAGACGGGGTTTCACCGTGTTAGCCAGGGTGGTCTCGATCTCCTGACCTCGTGATCCGCCCATCTCGGCCTCCCAAAGTGCTGGGATTACAGGCTTGAGCCACCGTGCCCGGCCCTATAACAGTTTTTATATAACACCCTCCATACAGTGAAAAAAATTTTAGCAGAGAAGTAAAAAAGATCCAGGGCCAGGCATGGTGGTTCACGCCTGTAATCCCAGCACTTTTGGAGGCCAAGGCGGGTGGATCACATGAGGTCAGGAGTTCAAGACCAGCCTGACCAGCCAGGTGAAACCCCATCTCTAGTAAAAATACAAAAATGAGCTGGGCATGGTGACGTGCACCTGTAATCTCAGCTAGACTCGGGAAGCTGAGACAGGAGAATCGCTTGAACCTGGGAGGCAGAGGTTGCAGTGAGCCGAGATGGTGCCATTGTACTCCAGCGTGGATAACAAGAGCAAAACTCCATCTCAAAAAAAAAGGATCCCAGTTATGGTAATAGATACGAATTTCCTCAGCTGCTGCTAAAGTGGGGAGCAGGGAAGCCGAGGCTGTCCTGGGGTGAGGCCCTCATTTCATCCCGCACTTAGCACCACAGCCAGCAGCCAGCAGCCCCACAAGCCCGTATCTTGGTCTCTATCCAAGCTTACCTGCATCTACGCAGCCCTCATCCTGCATGACAGTGAAGTGACTGTCACAGAGGACAGGATCAATGCCCTCACTGAAGCAGCTAGTGTAAATGTCAAACCTTTCTGGCCTGGCCAGTGTAACCATCAGGAACCTCACTGGCAGTGTGGGAACTGTTGAGCCTGTTCCAGCGGTTGGTGCTGCCCCAGCAGGAGGTCCTGTCTCTTCCACCACAGCTGCCTGAGCTCAGGAGAAGAAAAGAAAAGGAAAGAAGAATCTAAGGGGTCTGTTGAGGACATGGGCTTTTGTCTTTCTCACTAAACGTCTTTTGAAACATATTCAGTAGTAAGTTGCACTCTAAAAAACTAACAGATGTGACAACTACAATATGAATACAAAAATATTATAAATGATACAATAAAAATATATATTATAGAAATATATAAATGTTAAAAATGTTAAAAATACAATAAAAACATAAGCCTGTAATCCCGGCATTTTGGGAGGCCGAGGCAGGCAGATCACCTGAGGTCAGGAGTTCAAGACCAGCCTGGCCAACATAGTGAAACGCCGGCTGTACTAAAAATACAAAAATTAGCCGGGCATGGTGGCGCGTGCCTATAATGCCAGCTACTCGGGCGGCTGAGGCAGGAGAGTCGCTTGAACCCAGGAGGCAGAGGTTGCAGTGAGCCGAGATCACAACACTGCACTCCAGCCTGGGTGGCAGAGTGAGACTGGAAAAAAACCCACTTCTGTATACTAGGGAATTTGACAAAGCTGCATACACGCATGTCCAGGACAGGATGGATGCTCTGAGAAGACCACTGGCCGTCTATACATTCAGTGCAAGCAGGAAGTGAAAGTGGAGCAGAATTATGAATGGCATGCTTAGCCAGCTGTGGTGGCACAAACCTGTAATTCCAGCTACTCTGGAGGCTCAGGTGGGAGAACTGCTTGAACCCAGGAAGCAGAGGTTGCAGTGAGCCAAGATCACACCATTGCACTCCAGTTTGGGCAAGAGTGAGACTCCATCTCAAAATTTAAAAAAAGGTAAGCTGCTAATAAAGGAGAGACAGATATGTATAAATAAATAAATACATACATATGTAAGGGACATGCGGAAGCCAGGCATGGTGGCTCACACCTGTAACCCCAGCACTTAGGGAGTCCAAGGTGGGAGGATTGCTTGAGCCCAGGAGTTTGAAACCAGCCTGGGAACACATGGCAAGACTTCATCTCTACAAAAAATTTTTAAAATTACGGCCAGGCATGGTGGCTCACACCTGTAAATCCCAGCACTTTGAGAGGCCGAGGCGGGTGAATCACCTGAGGTCAGGAGTTTGAGACCAGCCTAGCCAACATGGCAAAACCCTGTCTCTACTAAAAATACAAAAATTAGCTGGGCATGGTGGCACATGCCTGTACTCCCAGCTACTCGGGAGGCTGAAGCAGGAGAATTGCCTGAACCCAGGAGGCAGAGGTTGCAGTGAGCCGAGATCGCGACACTGTACTCTAGTCTGGGTGACAGAGTAAGATTCCGTCTCAAAAAAAAAATTAAAAAATTAGCCAGGTGTGGTGGTGCCTGTCTGTGGTCCCAGCTACTTGGGAGACTGAGATGGGAGGATGCTTTTGGGTGTCCAAGCTACAGTGAACCCTGTTCCCACCACTGCACTCTAGCCTGGGTGACAGAGTGAGACCCTGTCTCAAAAAAAAAAAAAAAAATTAGCCAGGCATGGTGGTGAGCGCCTGTAATCCCAGCTACTCAGGAGGCTGAGACACAGGAATCACTTGAGCCCAGGAGGCAGAGGATGCAGTGAGCCAAGATCATGCCACTGTTCTCTAGCCTGGGCAACAGAACAAGACTTTGTTTCAAAAAACAAAACAGGGCGGGGCACAGTGGCTTACGCCTGTAATCCAGAACTTTGGGAGGCCGAGGCGGGCAGATCACCTGAGGTCGAGAGTTCGAGACCAGCCTGCCCAACATGGAGAAACCCCATCTCTACTAAAAATACAAAAAAATTAGCTGGGCATGGTGGCGCATGCCTGTAATCTCAGCTACTCGGGAGGCTGAGGCAGGAGAATCCCTTGAACCTGGGAGGCGGAGGTTGCAGTGAGCCAAGATCGTGCCATTGCACTCCAGCCTGGGCAAAAAGAACAAAACTCAGTCTAAAAGAAATAAAAATAAAAATAATCAAAATAATTCACCCTATAACACACTAAAGTGGAAAACCACGTGATCATCTCAAGATCAGGTGATCAGAGCATTTGACAAAATCCGACATCCATTACTGATTTTTAAAAACAACAGCTTTCAGCAAAGTAAAGATGGAAGGAAACTTCCTCACCCTGAGAAAGGGCACCTGTGAAAGATACAACCAATGTGTTACTCATAGGTAAAGACAAGATGCTTTCCTAAAGCCAGGAGCAATACAAGGATTTCTGCTCTCACCACTTCCATTCAACACAATACCGGAGGTTCTAGCCAGGGCAATAAGGCAGAGAAGGACAAAAGACATCCAGATTGGAAAGGAAGAGGCCACTGTTCTTAGCAAACAGCATGATCGTTTATGTAGAAAATCCAATTGAACCTACAAAAATACTACTCGACTAATGAATGAGTTTACTGAGGCTTCACGATGCAAGAGCAACACACAAACATCAACTATATTTTAATCAACTAGCAGTGAAAAACTGGAAATTGAAATTTAAAAATTAATACTATTTGGCTGGGTGTGGTGGTTCATGCCTGTAATCCCAGCACTTTGGGAGGCCGAGGAGGGCAGATCACGAGGTCAGGAGATCGAGACCATCCTGGCTAACACAGCATAACCCCGTCTACTAAAAATACAACAGCCAGGCGTGTTGGCGAGCGCCTGTAGTCCCAGCTACTCAGGAGGCTGAGGCAGGAGAATGGCGTGAACCCAGGAGGCGGAGCTCGTAGTGAGCCGAGATCACGCCACTGCACTTCAGCCTGGGTGACAGAGCGAGACTCCGTCTCAAAAAAAAAAAAAAAAAGAAAGAAAAATAAAAAGTTTTTTTATTGTTTAATTTTTTGGGGTACATAGTGGGTGTGTACATTTATAGGGCACAGGAGATATTTTGATACAGGCATGCAATGCATAGTAATCACATCAGGGGAAATGGGGTGTCCATCACCTCAAGCGTTTATCCTTTGTGTTACAAATAATCCAGTTATACTCTTTTAGTCATTTTAAAATGTGCAATCAAACACTAGGTCTTGTTCTTTCTTTTTTTTTTTTTTTTTTTTTTTTTTTTTTTTGAGACAGAGTCTCGCTCTTTTGCCCAGGCTGGAGCACAGTGGCACGAACTCGGCTCACTGCAAGCTCTGCCTCCCAGGTTCACGCCATTCTCCTGCCTCAGCCTCCCGAGTCAAGTAGCTGGGACTACAGGCATCTGCCACCGTGCCAGGCTAATTTTTTGTATTTTTAGTAGAGACGGGATTTCATCGTGTTAGCCAGGATGGTCTGGATCTCCTGACCTGTGATCCACCCTCCTCGGCCTCCCAAAGTGCTGAGATTACAGGCATGAGCCACCGCGCCCGGCCTCTACTTTTTTTTTTTTTTTTTTTTTTTTTGAGACGGAGTCTTGCTCTGTCACCCAGGCTGGAGTGCAGTGGCCGGATCTCAGCTCACTGCAAGCTCCGCCTCCCGGGTTTACGCCGTTCTCCTGCCTCAGCCTCCCGAGTAGCTGGGACTACAGGCACCCGCCACCTCGCCCGGCTAGTTTTTTTGTATTTTTTAGTAGAGACGGGGTTTCACCGTGTTAGCCGGGATCGTCTCTCGATCTCCTGGCCTCGTGA